GTGTGTGTGTGTGTGTAACATAGAAGATATAGAAGACACAAGAAAGAAACTGGTCTAGATCGCACAACAAAACAAGTGCTCCTCTCCCCGTCAAGGATTGTTATCCAAAAAGTCCTCAACCGACAACCCACAACTATTGAGCATGATCAGCCGACCCTTGTCCATACATCCTGTGGTTCGTCAACGGCATGCTCATGTTCACAATCTTCTCCCTCGGCATCCCGCTCGAGATAGCCACACCATATCGTCCTTGCCCTTGGTGAATAGGCTGCTCAGCGCTGTAAGAGCTCATGTTGTCACCCTCGACGTCATTGAGGACTTCTCTGGTCAGCTCAACATAGTCGTAGGCAAACTCGCCGATTTCGGCGTCATCAATACCGAGGATCTCGCTCTCTTCACTTGCGCGGAGATGGAGCCCAGGGATGAGGTTAAGAATGAAGAGGATAGCACAGGTCAAAACGAAAGAATAGGCACCGCCGGCAAAAGAGTCGGCAAGCTGAATAGGGAGCTGGATCCAATTGTGATCGAGCCAGCCACCCTTGATAGAGGAGACACCGTCGAGGCGGGTGATGGTGTTGGTAGCGAAGAAAGCGGTGCAAATGTTGCCGACGAGACCACCGATGCCGTGAACAGCAAAGATATCGAGAGCGTCGTCAATGCGGAGAAGGAACTTGAGCTTGGTGGCGTAGTTGGCAAAAGAGGCGCCCATGATGCCGCATGGTACGGCGGCCCAGACTGGGACGTAACCTGTTGATGTTGTTAGCCACAACTTCACAAAAAGGTGAGGTGGGTAAAGGGGACCTACCAGAACCAGGCGTAATAGCCACCAACCCAGCCACAACCCCCGAGCAAAATCCAACCGTCGACCACTTCCTCTCCAGCCTGTAATCCAACACACACCACGTAATCCCACCCACACAAGCGCTCAAGTTGGTCACCACGGCCGCCATAATAGCCCTCATGTTCGCGGCCAGCGCAGACCCAGCATTGAAACCAAACCACCCAACCCACAGGAAAACTGTTCCGATGACAATATGCGTCACATTGTGCGGCCGGTAGTTCAACTCGTGGGTGCCATGACCCCTCCTCTTTCCAAGCATCATACTATACGCCAACGCGGCCGCTCCAGATGCAATATGAACCGGTGTCCCACCTGCAAAGTCCAACCCACCCATCTTGTTGGACCAGCCCGATGGATTCCAAGTCCAGCAAGCAACGGCATCATACACAACAGTGAGCCACAAAAACATGAAGATAACACATGGAAGCATCCTCCCGCGCTCTGCTACGGCTCCGGTGGCCAGGGCGATGGTAATAGCCGAGAACATGCCTTGGTAAACAGCAAAAAGCAAATCGGGGATGCGGCTCGAGGCAACGGAGGGATGGGCGAGGACGTTTCGGAAGCCAAAGTTGGAGAGGTCCCCAATGAAGGGGCCAGCGGAATGTGAAAAGGTGAGAGAGTAGCCCCAAAAGAACCACTGAAAGGTTGACACGGCCGCGGCCATGACAGAGAGCCAGATGAGGGAGAGTGCCGACTTTCGGCGTGCGAGACCGGAATAGAAGAAGCCAACGCCAGGAATCATGAGCAAGACGAAGGCTGTGGACATGATCATGAAGGAGATGTCGCCGGCTTGGTACCAGACATTGAGGTCTTCGACGAGGGCATCGCCTCCTGCTGGGTCAGTTCCTGTGAAGGGTTCGAGTGGGATGTATGGTAGGTTGGAGAGTTCTTGGTTGTTGGTATTAGCGGCCATTTTGAAGGTGTGTGGACTTGGCCGTCCAGGAGGTTATGTTGCTGCCTTCAGTCGTGTATGGTGAGGTGGTGTACAAGTGTATAAGTGGTCGTCTGTGAGGTGCAGATATTGTCGGATGTGTCGGATAGAACAAGAGTAAACGAGAGACAGAGAAGAACGAAGGGACGTGAGGAATGTCTTCCACACCCAATAATAGATAGTATGCCTGGAGGCGAAAAAACTTGATCTTCCCAGAAGAAAGTGATGAGCGGCAGCAGGCTAGCAATGGTTTGCAGTAGGCCTGGGACTTTTTCTGGAAAGAAGCAATTCGCGGGGGGCCAATCAGCTTTGACACCGACGGGGTGTCTTGGCTTATCGGGGGAGACAAGCCACACGGTTGAGCTACTGCACGGGAAGAGAAGGAAGTGGGATGGAAAACGAACGGGAGTCAGGCGAGAAGCATCGCCGGCGTCCTTGGGGGCTCGAGCATGTTTATGATCATAAGGCTTGGGTTCCCACTTGGTTCCCGCGGGCCTTGGAGAGCAACGGGAGCATGAGCACAATCTCTCGGGGGCCTTGAAGATCCATACCTGGGCTCTGAGTAAGGCAAGTAAGTGCTTTTTTGCGGACGCTGAAGATGGGTCGCACAAAACATGTCTTGACCAGGAACCTCCGGACAGAGCCAAGTCTGCGATGCTGCTCTGGAAATTTGAAGGGGGGGGGGGGGCCGAAGATAGAGACCAATATGTCACCCTCCTTCTTCAGGTTGTTGTTCTCTGCTCATTGCCTCCGAGGAGAACACTTCCCAAGTTCCTCTGTTCCGGATCCCACCAGCTCGGCGTTGGTTGCGAGTTCGGGGGCGTTTGGACCCATTGTGAAGCAGAAAAAGCAAGTGTCGCATATGACGAGAACGAGCGTTGATGCCTTCTGGCTCGAGGTTGGAGGGAGAGTGGTGGCTGTGAGAGACAACCCTTGCTCCCCTGCAAAGCAAGTGACGTTCGAGTGAGGGTGACACTGGAGTGGACCGAGAAAGGGAGCTCCACGATAACTCGATTCGCTGAGACGTGCTAAAAGCTTGGTGTAAAGATAAGCCTCCTGGGCCCTGATTGGCCCGACTAACCCGGTCGTGTGGCTCTCAGGTGCCGTGGGGGCTACGTGGGGCCGCTCTCCCGCGTGTTCAGGGGATTGACTGACTTTCTGTAAGTGGAAGTTCAACGTCTTTTCCTCCCAAGGCTGGCAATTGTCTTGACAATTGCCATGACTGACCACAAACAACGTCCATGTGGCAGCGGCACAGAGCAACACATCTCACTCATGTCTTCAAGATTCTCTTCACCAGCGTCACGAGCTCTTGACACAATGCGATCCCCAACCACCTCAGCTTCAGCTCGGCCAGCCGGATATTGAATGTTACGGCATGGAGATCACAAGAAATAAACTACTGATAACAACGTCCCGTCCCGCCCAGAACCCATTCTATCTGACGCTACTTTCAGGAACCACCTGCATCCCCAGGATCATCGAAACGCTTGCCTCTGCAGATGCCTCTCACTCAAAGTGGATCACCTCACTGCTTCTCATCACCAACATACCACTATACAGTCTCACCAACATACTACTATACAGTCTCACCTACATATTATCACGGCGTTACATACACCCCGAAAAACCCCAACGCTGAAGCCCAGCCTGCAAGCCACAAAGCCACTCACTCTGACGCGCAGACACTCCCCTTACAGGCCTTCATAATGTCGTCTTTGTTTGTTTCCATTTATTTGGTGAGATGCAGGTGACAATCTCCTCAAAATATCATCACCACTGCCGTGACGAGACTGCATGTGGCTACCTCTCCTTCTCCTTACCGGACTGCCGAGACGTTGTTCATTCCTCTCCCCAGACCTCATGATATCTCCTCTGAGATACAGCAAGTGGTGCTATATACCAATCAACCCTCTCAACCCTCTCCCCCGCCGATCACCTGTCAGCTCTCCCACCCCCGAAGATTACTTCCTCTCCAAAAGACCCTGATCTTCCCTCAGCCCTCCGTTATCTCACCTTTCACTTTTCAAGACTAGCCTCAAATGCCCATTCGACACTAGCGCAAATCCCATCATCATGCGCGCCAAAAACCAAAACCAGGAACGAACCATCTGGGCGGGAGTGTGGGGGTTGCTCATTCATCACTCACCAATTCAAATCCCAAACCTGGTGTTTATCAATGCCAGATTAATGAAGGATTTATGCCCGCCAGACCTGTCATATCTTCACCACCCATCATGCAAATAACCAACCCAAGCAAGGGGAGACACATCATCGGTGAGGCATGTGACCTTGGGGTGGTAGGTAGGTAAAAGATAAGAAACCAAGGTGGACCAGACCTTATTACACCGGGGGTCAAGATCAGAGTCAAGGTCCAGGTCAGTCAAGGATCTCAAGTCTGAGCTTACATACACTACCAGACGTTGAAGCTAAGCTTACGCTTGCTAACGAACAATCGCCATCGATCGTCCGCCGGCGGCCGTTTTTCTCCACTGCTGGTGAGCTGGTGTTTACTGCTAAGGAAGCCGGCGGTGTCCGTGTAGTGTGATATATCAAACAGTAAAAATCGAAATGACTTCAACGAGTGACTTGTAGGATTGTCAGGCTCTGATTAATGTCGTTCAAAAACAAGGGGCCATCATGTCTCATCTATGATAACAAGCTTGAGTATCTATCCCCCCCATCACTACACCACTTTTACCCGCAAAAAAAAAAAGCTATTTAGATACCCACTCTTTCATCCATGAAGCTAATACGCAAGATAATCTCATTAACGTACACCACATTCATCATCATCATCATCATCATCATCATCTTCACTCCCATCCAACTCAACCCCATCGTCACCCTCCCCCCTCAACACCACCTCTCACTAGGCTCCCTCCACCTAACCCCCAAAACCTCAAAAATCCTCCTCTCGCTCCTTCCCTCCACCAACTCTCCTTCCGTAACCCCCACCCTCCCCCTCCCCCTCATCACATCCCTAAACAACCCTCTCTGATTTAACCTCATCCCCTTCTTCCCCGCCAACAACCTCAAGCTCCGATTAAAAATATCATTCCCCGTAAAATAAATCAACGCCGCTCCATACTCCGTCTCGGGCACAAGCAGCAAATCAATCCTCCTCCACTTCCCCCCAGGAGGCAACCTGCAGCATCCCAAAAACTTACTCCCTTCCCCCTCCCTTCTCGATTGCGACAACGTCGCCACCAAAAAATTCTTCTTATACAGCACAGATATAAGCGAGTTCATAAACGGGACAAGATCCGAGCAGGATGTGGTCCCGCGTTTGGTGATGATGAAATCAATGTCGCCTGACGTGTCCGAGCCACGGCGGTACGAGCCGCCAACGAGTAATTCCACGTCTGGGTCGACGAGGAAGGCTTCACGCTGGACAAAGGCCGCTAGCTGGGTTACTTCGCTGCGGGGGATGCGGGAAGTGAGGTCCGAGTAGTGCTCGATCGAGACGCGTTGGTTGGCCGACAGGTCGGCTTTGGTGAGGAGGTCTTCCAAGGTCCGATGGCCTTGGGATATCCACTTGTTTGCTCTAGAGAGTCCCACGTCGTGAATTTTGAGAAAGAGGTCGAGGACTTTGTCCGTCGGTTCAAGGTTCGCATATTGAAGCCTGTGAAGGTTGTTGGTGGTGCAGATTTCCTCGATTTTCCGGGCGATTCGGGAGCCGATGTTGGGGAGAGTGTAGGCCTCCTCGGCGGTGGTGATTTTCTTGGTGGTCTGCTGACGGAGTGTGGTGATGGCTCTGCGGTAGGCCGTTATACGCCAGCGATCATTAATTTTGGTGTAGTAGTCGCACATGGATTGGAGAACTTCTATTGTCCTGGCGTTTGGGTTGTTGGCAGCGGAGGAGGCAGGATTGTCTTTCGTGCCGCCACGGCTGCAGGCAAAGCGGTCTTCGAACGGAATAGTCTTTTTGAGAGAGGCGCGGGAGCGTGTTGCGGGCTTTTTGCGGGCGCGCTCATCTTCGGAGCCCGGCTCGGGATCCGAGTCCTCCTGAGCGTCCTTGGTTGATTGTATGTCGTCGTCTTCTTCGTGGTCCAACGGCAGGTCCTTGTACTGCTGAAGGAGCTCGATGTAGCTCGTCAGCTCATCCTTGGGACCATCCGTCGTTTGAGCTGTGGGATGAGGTGGAACAGATGACTGGATCTGTATTTCGAACGGAGCAGCTTGAGTGGTTCTAGTTGGGCGAGGGTTCTCAAACGAGCTATCTTCCTGTCGTGGTGTTCCTTCTGAGCCCTCAGTGTCCTGTTTCCTGGCGCTTTGTCTCCTGGCGCTTTGTCTCCCGGCGCTTTTGGGTTCTTTGACCTGAAGCGAAGGCTCAGAGTCCCGGGATGATATTGTTATGACTGTGGATTCGGAAGTTGGTGATGGGAACCCTGTGACCCAGTATCGGCTCTGGTCGGGGTTTAGTAGTGTCCGGAACGAGATACTGTCGATAGGATACTCGTCATTGACGACGATCAAAGAGGCGGCCAGCCCAAACTCTGGTATCTTCTGAATGTCAGAGTATGACAAGTGCTTGTCAACAATGACATGTGTCGCATTGTGTAGACTCCTAACCCATTCTGCCCCATAATCTTTGGCTTTGGCAATCCGAAGTTTCCTGGCTGGTGCAACATCGTCGTTAGGGATGTAAAAGAAAGACAAGCCACGAAATATTTGAGCTGATTCCGGGATCACTTTCCCGGAAGATGACCGTTTGCGCTTTCGAAGAGCAGTAGTAGCTGACGGCGACTGTTCAGCCGCAGAGGCAGAGGTTGAAACTGGCATGGTGATACTCCTCCGTAATGTTGTTGGGACTCTTGGACGGGTGGAATCTGGTATTGGTGTTTCAGCAATGAATGAAGTAGAAGTATCTGCAATTAGGCGCCTCCTGGTTCTGGAGGTGGTACTGTCAATGGTGGTGGCGTCTGGGGTTGCCTTGATAATTTCTGCCGAACCTCCTGGAGCGGGTGTAGGTGCGGTTGGAGTGGGCACCGACGCTGTCCGCCTTGGTTCTGGATGTGGGCGAGGTGAAGAAAGAGGATTGATAGTGTTTCCCTTCTCTTTCACTGTAGGAACTGCTGGTTGGAAGAAGGCCTTGCACTTGGCCCTGTGCTGCTGTTCCCTGGCATCAATTCGGTCATCCTCTTCGTCAAGCTTATCGAAGGCATCCAGCTGATTGAAAAATGCAATCTTTTCTTGGAGCGGTTGTTCCTCATCCATCGGACTCTTTTGGCTGGGAACTGAACTGGGAACAATTCGAGTGCTCTGGGTCAAAAGAGTGTCGAACAATCGACCAGGCTTTTTGTACCGTCTGGCGACCCGGGATCCTGGAGAAGGCAAACTGGCCATTTTATCTTTTCCCCATTCCCATCGGTCCTCCCTTGTTGGTTAACCAGAGACAGAGAGAGGCTGCTGCCTACCCTTAACGTGTGTGTGTATATGCACGCAAAAGTGCGGCCCGGGATCGGTTGGAGGTCGGATCGAGGTGACGCGAATGGGATGCAGCGAGTCTCTGGCTTGCCTGGCTTGGCAGGTCACGAACTACATGCGGTGGCACGTGATTCGAGTACGTACCTCTAATGCCAAGATAACATCCAACGACGCTGATTGGTCCCATCAGATGCTTAGCGTGGTTTCTGGCTCAACGGTTTCAGATTGGCCTGCGGGTCTCTCGAGGCACCGCCAGTTTCCTCCCCCTTTTTGACTTAATTTACTTAGAGAGACGACTAGGTGACGGTTGTAAATAACGTCAATTGGGTTCCAACATCACTGTTTGACTCTCAATTTCTTACAGCTAGCTGGTCTGGCAGCTCTTGAACCACATTGCCTTCCAATATCCCCTAAACATAGCTTAAACCCAGTCAAACGGTGTCACAATGTCGAACCTGTTTTCCGGAATGTAAGTACCACAGGTCTTCTTGTACTGGTGCATCTGGAAGCACTTTGCTCTTGCCTTTTATATATGTTATCGAGTACACATAGCGACCCCCTTGATCAAGCGCTCCTTCCATGGCCTCACAGTCACGCCGATGACAACAAATCACACAAATAGTCCCCGCTAACAAATCCCCCAGAAATGCCCGGCTGAGGGGAGCTTCCAGCAAACCTAGCCCCAACAGCAAGAGTCCGATATCTCCAACATCGGAGGACGGCAAACTGAACTCTCCTGGGGGCCTCTCTCAGAGGAGTCTTTCGTCAAGCAACCTTTCTTCTCCTTCTTCCAAACTCCCACCTGTCCCTGCATCTCCGTTACCACCAACCGCCAACATGACCGGTTCCATAGACGATGAACTGGCCGCCTACCACCTCCCGAAGCCGCTCCCGCTTTGGCTCAACCCAGCCTACGCCAAGCAGATCGTGAAAGGCAACTTTATGACCCTCAGTCGTCGACCTAAGGCGGTCGAGCAGGGTGAATGGGTTGCCTGTCAAGGTAGGCATCCTTTTATTTTTATTTTTACGATTTATTGTCTCACTTGCTGACAACTCCAACAGTCGTGGAGCACTATCGTAACCTCTGGAACTTTGTCAGCATTGTGTACCAGAAGGAGGAGAATGGCCAGAGCATCTGCAACCCGACCACATGCCCTCGCATGTCAGCTGGAGGGTGAGACATGTCCCATCTTTCTAATAGCGGAAGCCAATACTAACATGATTCCTCAGTAACCACTCCTACACATGGCTCAACAACCGTTTTGAGCCCATTGAGCTGCCTGCCTACGAGTACATGACGCTTATGCAGCGCTGGATCTCTGGCAAGGTCGACGACGAGAAGGTCTTCCCCACCAACCCTGCTGGTGTCTCGTTCTCTCAGCACCAGCAGCTCACACCTTCGGCCATCGCCACCGACGGATTTGATGAGTACATTGGAAAGCGTAGTGGGTTTCCCAAGGAGTTCTCGACTATCTGCAAGACCATCTTCACCCAGATGTTCCGCGTGTACGCCCATCTCTACTGGGCCCACTTTGTGGAGCCCTTCTACCACCTGAATCTTGAGAAGCAGCTCAACAGTTGCTTCAGTCACTTTGTGTTGGCTGGGATGGAGATGGCCATGCTCACGCCGCAGGAGCTGGAGCCGATGCAGCCTCTGCTTGACTTGTGGGCTGCCAACGGAACCTTCCCTCCGGACTCCAAGGCCTATGAGAGTGCTAACCTCAAGGCCGGTAATCGGCTGCTGCAGCTGGCGGGCATGGCTTGAACTGGGGAGGGAAGCAAGGAGTACATGGTGTTGCATATTTCGTCTGTCACGGTCTGATCTGGTCTTTGCTTAGACTCTAGTTTGCATGGTCTCGGAGTTGAGGGGGTTAACAGCAATTCTTCACATCTTGAGATAGGGAGTCCAACACTGCAGCGTTTCCTCGAGATGATTAGACTTTCAGGGGTCATCCCATGTTTGTTGACTGGTCCCTTAATCGTGGATGTTGCCTCTGCCTGATCATGCCTGACGTCTCGTAGCGTCGCTTCTTGAGGACCCTGTTTGCCTTAGTGGGGTGTTTTCTCTTACAGGGACTTGACGGCGGGGCAACTACCCCACATTCGATTAAGCGGGCCCTTTCCACCCAAATTCTCTGCGCGACGAGCCCAGGCCAGTGGCAGATCCCCATTGTTCCCATATCGCGCTTGTCCCAGCACCATTTTTCTTCTTTCCTTTCTGATTTTTCTCTCTCCAATCTGACCCGGGTCAATAATTCGTCACCATCTTCAGTTACCGACCCTCGCTACAGACAGCCCAACATGGTCAACGACGCTATGGATATCGAGACTGCTGAGAAGAACCTCAAGCAGCTCGACCACGCCGAGCAGCACTACTTCAACAGGCAAGTCTGGAAGAAGAAAAAAAAGCTATGTGTCTTTTTTGTAGGGGGGATATTTGCTAACACTCAGCCTACAGCTATAACCATCATGGTATGACACCGTTCAAGCTCGCTGATGGGGAATAATTGTACTAACTCTGGCGCTTTCGTTATCAAGGCATCCACGAGGAGATGTTGGTATGTTTTCTTGGAGCCTATCTTATCTTCCCCTCAAAAATTTATGGCTGACATTGGCATGCGCCTCTACAGAAAGATGAGGTCCGCACAAGATCATACATGAACGCCATCGTTCAAAACAAGCACATCTTCAAGGACAAGGTCGTTCTCGATGTCGGCTGCGGCACCGGTATTCTCTCGATGTACGCCCATCCTTCCCTCGCCCGACTTCCCCGGGAGAAAAAAAAAAGAAGAAAGCAAGGCTGATCAGTTTGTTTCTCAGGTTCGCTGCCAAGGCTGGCGCGAAGCATGTCATTGGTGTTGACATGTCCACCATCATCTTCAAGGCCCGCGAGATCGTCGAGGTCAACGGGCTGTCCGACAAGATCACCCTCATCCAGGGCAAGATGGAGGAGATTACCCTTCCCTTCCCCCAGGTGGACATTATCATCTCAGAGTGGATGGGCTACTTCCTGTTGTACGAGTCCATGTTGGACACTGTGTTGTATGCCCGTGACAAGTACCTTGTCAAGGACGGTCTCATCTTCCCCGACAAGGCGAGCATCTATGTTGCTGGTATTGAGGACGGCGATTACAAGGACGAGAAAATCGGATGTGAGTGCTCTTCCGCTTTGCGCTAGGATATTCCTGTCCGGGGCTAACCCATGTCGCAGTTTGGGATAACGTCTATGGTTTCAACTACTCGCCTCTCAAGGAGACCGCCTTGTCTGAGCCTCTCGTCGATACTGTCGAGATGAAGGCCGTCGTTACCGACCCATCTCTCGTTCTCACCCTCGACCTTTACAAGTGCACGGTCGAGGATTTGGCTTTTAGCTGCCCATTCGACCTCGTCGCCAGACGGGATGACTTCATCCACGCTCTTGTCGCCTGGTTCGACATTGACTTTACCGCCTGCCACAAGACAGTCCGCTTCTCCACTGGGCCACACACTAAGTACACTCACTGGAAGCAGACCGTCTTCTACCTCAAGGATATGCTTACTGTCCAGCAAGGAGAGAAGATTGAGTGCTCTCTCCACAACCGCCCCAACGAGAAGAACCGTCGCGATCTCGACATCAAGATCGAGTACCGTCTCGAGACCGAGGACCCCACCCGCAAGGCTGAGGGAACCTGCCTGTACAAGATGTGCTAGGCGAATCACGGTTTCCCTGGTATATCTAGCAAGGAAGGTCTGATAACCAACTACTCTTTTTTACATTTTCACTTTGCGCCTGGCATACATACAACAAGTAAAAGTTGCATGGGGGGATGGGGGCGAGACTCACAACATGAAGATTTCGGGATTGACGCTCTGGCGGTAGCGCACCATATCTGAAGCGACAAAAAAGCGAGGTGTTTTCGGGGGCTTTAGTTACTAGATAGAGCAGGTTGTCTTTCTGGCGTTTTTTTTTGTTTATCTTGCTGTATTTTATCTCAGCAAAAAAGGGAGCCAAAGGGATACCTCTGATGATGAGGAAGGAGACTGGACTGGCAAAGAATGGCCCCGAGTGTGGGTGATGGGGAGTGCATCAGTGATGAATGATGCATATGGGATACCCGGAGAGGAATGGAAAGACGTGAAAAAAAAAAAATAGAGCATTGAAGTTAGATGATTTGGCTCGATTTGCTGTGTCTGCTTTTGCAAGTTTTGTGAATCGTTACGACAATCCAGGGGTAGTATTGATCATCCCAGCTTGTATTGCCTTCATTCATCCCTTTGGATAAAAAAAAACAGAAAAATCAAATTGACCAACCCTGACTATCGCTTCGAAAAGGGAAAAAAAGCATAGCCCAACCCAACACTAAATATACCTTACCTGCTAAACCTCTGCAGACCCTTATTTTTGCCCACCAATATTTTTTTTTGCTTTGTTTTTGCTAATAATACCGATGTATTTGTTACCCAGTTCATCATCTCAGTTCATTATAACCCATTCATTCCGCTTTGCTCGCTCGCTTTACTCCCGTGCTCAATCAAACAACACCAATTTTCGGGTAGGTGGGGGATTTTCCTTCTATAACAAAAGCTCACTCCTTTTCCTGTGTGTCCTCCTCACCATCCACCACCCCCATAGCCTTATACACCTCCCACTCAATCCCCAATTTCTCCAGCATATCCTCGAAGCTCTGCAGTTTCTCTTCCTCTTCTTCTTCTTCTTCTTCTTCTTCTTCTTCTTCTTCTTGACCCTCCAAATTTTCATCATCACTGTCTATCCCCATAGCTCGTTTCTAGAAACTAGGCAAGTCAAATCCCCAAAGAAATCCGCGCTGTTTTTGTTTCCTATTGCTTGATCAACCCCCTCAAAATACTCCCTTCTACTCGCCCCCAAATCAAAAGGACTCATCAAGAACGTCGCCGGTTCCCCGACTTCTTTATCACCATCCCTGAGGATATCCTCCAGCTTCGTCTGCGGAATCGCCAACCTCTTCTGCCCAAAAGAAATGTCATACTCCAACCTACCATCACCCCCCCTCAGACTCCCCATACTTTTCCCCCCTTAGCCTTTGTTTGACTGGCGAACCCATCCCGTCCCTCCTCATCA